CAGTAAAGCAGATGCATAAAGGTCAAAGATTATTGCTAGACTGTAAACAAAAGCAGCGTGTGCCATCGCAGCAGAGCGACCCCATTTTTCTCGGCTCTTTATTATGATTAGACATGAATGAAAAGTGCCAAGCTGACAGACTGCGAAATCCATGGATTAAAAGTGCCAAGTCCAAATTGTATGGGACGATATCGACGAACTTCAGGAATAAGTTGGACTTGGACTTTGAGGGTTTTGAGTTTGACGAAGATGGCAATGAACGTACAAATAAAGATCTGAGAAGTTTTTTCAAACAGCTATGAATTTTTATAATTATTACAGTGTGAATTTGTAAATTATTATTGTTCTTGTATGACGGTTGATTCGCAATTTGTCGAGACCGGAAATCATTTTACGCAGTTTAACCCCTGACATTTTAATTCATTTTTAGTTCACGCGTATTGGGAGTGTTTGTCGGCGGGAAAATCCTAATTCAAATGATTCCTCACTGTCGATTTTTATTATTTCTGATTTATTTGTCACATTGTAAGCAATACATTATTTTTGTTTTACTTCTAATGTTGCATATTGTTCATTTATTTCCGTTGCATGTTTTCATTTGCCGTTCTATTCCCTGCCGCAGTTCGATCTGCGTGTTGTCAATTTTTGTGGTTTTTTTGCCCACCCCTTCTTTTTGGCAATTTTCCATGTTCAGGACCCTGGGCTTATACCCGGATAAATACGGTATATATTCATGAACATGCAGCATAAGACAATATAAAAAAACAAACATGTTCTCATCTATACTGCATTTTTCACTGGTCAGATCAACGTAAGAGTACATGCGACTAGTAGGGAAATAAGTAAATGAAAAAAATAATGGTAAAAATAACAAAAAACAAAACCAGAAAACAAGTGAGTACAGTAATTCTGACATAAAATCCCAACCTAGATAGCACCTTTGACACCTTATGTAGTGCACTACTTGACATGTATGACGAGCAGTTAGCAAACAGACAAGTACATGTAGTTACCCTGGTAGATAGCATACAGACAAAGAACAGAACAGAACAGAACAGAACAGAACAAAACAAAACAAAACAAAACAAACTATCAACAAGAGCAAAATAATGACTTCTGCCAGTAATAGTGAAATGCAGCGAAAGAGATTTGGAAAAGTGATTTGCAATTTTTCATGTTTTTAAAGAGTTATATTCAACTTACATCAACATCAAGTAGTCTCTCATCCTAGTATTGGGAGTAAAAACGTAAAGTTCAATTTGTTCACATGACAGGAATCATTATCAGGGGGGGAAAAAAACGATAAAAGAAATTAATTCAGTTACTGAAATTTGAATTCTTATTTTCTGAAAGTAAAAACAAATACATAGCCAGGATGAATGTGGTAATTAGAATACAGAAATAGTGCATATTGGGATACATTCTCCCGTTTGAGTGCCAAGCCACATTATGTTTCACAAAATATATTTTTTGTTACATATTTTTTCAAACGTTTTGATCAAGACTTGTAACTAACGGGAAATTATGACTCAAAATTAAGAAATGAAAACATACTGAAAATGTGAAACCAAAATATCATTGGGGAAAACTATGGCATTCAAAAGGTTAACACAAAGGATGCAAAATGTTAACAAAATGCTGTTGGTGCACTGATTCATGCAGTCTGGCATGCATACAATTGTATGTGACAAACCTACACTGAAAATCAGATTAATTGAATTAGTAGAATTCTCTATGATTCAGATATTGTACAGATCGAAAAGTTGTGAATATATTTTTTTTTCAATATGGAAATCATCGACTTTTAAAAAACAAGTCATTGAAAATGACACAGTCCCTGTTAAGTTCTCTTTGTGCTCGTCATATTAAAGCGGAGGGGTTGTCGCGAGCGTGTCCTTGAAACTTGAGTTCCAAGTGGCGTATACAACAGATTGTTTATTTACATCAAAACACGTGTTTCGTGTCATAGTAATATGGCCAAAATAAAAACAGCCGTTATTCAGCCATCTTTGATCTGATTATGAAACACACTGATATGTATGATGTATGTGCCAAATACGATCGAAAATGGTACATAAATTGTGGAAATATAGTAGTGAGGCCAAAAAGTCAGATGGCTGTCAATCAGCCATCCTTGACCAGATTTTGAAACAAATTGTCATGGATATGCATCCTAACATGTATAAAGTACATGCATGTGCCAAATTTGAATGAAAACTGACAGAGCACGTCCAAGATACCGCATAAAAAAACAAAAACAAGATGCCTGCCAGTCGACCATCTTTGATCCATCATGGACATGTATCCTAACATGTATAATCTATGTACCAAGTTTGAATGACAACTGACAAAGCATGTCCAAAATACAACATTTTCAAAAAACAAGA